TTATAGCTTTTGGTGACACATCCTTTCTATTCTTGTGTGGAGCCATCATTTTTTAGCATATACTGTGTGACAGAGTGGTGGGCAATGGAGTATCAGCAACAGCTGCACATTCACCCAAGCACCGGCAATTTTCTGCATGACTTAGGTCCCACTGCGTGTCCAGACATCCCTCCCTCGTTATAATGAATGTGACTATTGTTCTTTTGTGTTCTTGTGTTTCACAGAGGATTATGCTAACTCATCAAACAAATTTTGATATTTTTAGTCCTTCAGCTGAAAAGGTCAGACTCCTAATCCCCTTTCTTCTAGGTCATCTGTCTCTGTGTAATTTATGGTTGCAAAATGACACATGGAGTTACAGCAATACCCAGTAGCATTAGTGACTGAAATCTCTGTCCTTCAGTAATGATGAGGAAGACTCAAAATCTTGCCATCGCCTTTATAATGAGAAGATAATGAGGGAAAATGAGTCCAATGCACATGGTGACCCAGTGTTATATATGATACCATTCTTCTTGTGGATAACCTTCTCCTCTTGAGAGGTCTCTGAATAGATTCTATTTATTTTTCTTTCTGCTTTGAAAACTCCTGCAACTGCCACAAGAATTTGTTCATACATTGGCACAATGCTAAAAGGAATCTTACTTTCTTAGTTACTTTTAACTCATTGCTGAGACAAAATACGTGATGCACCAAGTTGGGAAAGGAAAGGCTTATTTCTTAGAATTTTTTAGAGTTTCAGACCGTACTCAGTTGGCTCAAGGCAGGGTGGCATGGCAGGGCCGCAGTTCATGGCAGCTGCAAACGGCAGGACAGAAACCTGCAAAAGAGCAAGACACACCTTCTTCCTGCCATTGCATTACATCCTGGCTCCACCCCTAGGCTAGTGTAGCACTCACAACCCCTATACAAGTGCTAGGCAATGAACCAATCACAAATGCATAATGCAAACGCATGAGGCCTGGGGGCCACCAACATAAACCATGACACTTACCAAAGCACTATCACGACAGTTGTGTTCTCTTTCTTATACTCCAGGGTGAAGGGATATTTCTGGAACATGAGTTCTCTCCTTAGACATGCACCTGCAGCTATGAGGATAAAATTCAGATTTGTGGGTCTTAAAAGCATCCTGTTTGATGTTTCTGCCTTGCACTGCTGAGGTAGAAACCTTTCCAGTTCTGAATGTTGGAAGTTTCACACCCTCTGCCCTGCATTGGGAATGTTTGTCAGAATCTACTCAGGACTAACTGCTAGAAACATATAATCATCTTGGGCCAGAAGGTAGCCCACCCAGAAAGTTTTCAAAAAGACCTAGGATGGAAAACAATCCTAGGCAAGGGTAAAATAGCTCAGCACTTAGCACCTCTGCTAGTAAAGCCTAACCTTTCTAAAGCTATAGGTGGTTCTTGGTGGGGCTTTGGTTAGGGGTTTAAGGAAACCATTTTAAGCCAGATATGGAAGCCAATTAGTTTGGTCAAGGACATTGATGGTGGAAATATAATATCAAGTGCTTTTGCAGTCTCAATACACACATGAATGGAGGGATAACTGGATTTCTGAGACATGGAAGGAAACATTTTGTGAATAACTGCTATAATCTGTTGTTTTGCCTTTACAAATAAATTCATATTTAAAATGCCCCTGAGATGTAGAGATTCTGTGGGGAATTCTTTTATAAACAGAAGAATGTTGACATTCAAATGCAAACATTCATTCCTAATTCATCAAGTGGTACTTTATAGTTAATTTTTATTGAGGCATAATTTAGACACAGCAAAAGACATCCACGTGAAGTGTTTGGACTTTAGTACTCACCCATGAAATCATTGACACAATGAAGATGTTAACATTTTCATTACCCCTGAATGTTTTCTTGTGTCCCTTTGGAGCTCTTCTCTCCCTTTGTCCTTGACCTCAAGCAACCATTCATCTGCTTTTTGTCACTGTGCATTTTCTAGAATTTTATACAAGAAGAACCAGGCGGAATGAACTCCTTTGTGTCTGCCTTCTTTTGTTGAGTACAATGGGTGGGAGATGCACTCAGGTGCTTGCTTGTGTCAGTTGTCTACTCATTTACCACCTTGTCACCTTACTTTATTTTGCCAGAGTAGCATTTTATTGTTATGGATACACCACCATTTGCTTATCCATACCTGTTAATGAATATATGGGTTATTTACACTTTTTAGTTACAAATAATGCTGCTGTGAACATTCATATATAAATCTTTGTGTGAAAATTTAAATTCATTTCTTTTGGCTGAATACCTGGGAGTGGGCTGACTGGATTAGATTTTTAAGAGACTCTCATACAGTTTTTCTAAGTAGTTACACCACTTTGTACTCAGCAGTGTGTAATGGGGCAAGAGCTCCACACCTTCACCAATTTGGCATTGTTAGTATATATCATATTTTCTTAAATTGTATATTTATGTAAATTAATGGTTGAAGATGTACATAATTACGTATTACAAATAATCCTTGAGAAACTTTGGTTTTGGTGCGTGAAAATGTTTTGGATCTCCAATTTTTCTTTCTTTCCATCTCCCTGTCTGTCTCTCTCTGTCTTTGTCTCTTTGTCTCTTTCTGTGTCTCTCTGCCTCTCTCTCTCTCTCTCTCTCTCTCTCTCTCTCTCTCTCTCTCTCCTTACATTAAATCAGACTCTTGGGAAGAAACATTCATGTTATTCAAGTTACCAGGGGACACATGAATCATTGTATCTGAGCAGCTAGTATGGTGATAGGAAAAAATTATTTCTTCACTATCTAAAGTACAATTTTGGAAGAATGAAGGAAAAAGAAAGTTATTTAAAATTGTATATAAAAGAAGAGGAATTATGTTGGAATATGGCAATTTTTATGATAGTCCTAATTATATAAGGTTGTACTACTATCCTTAAATGAGAGTTGTACTTACAGGTTCTGGAGGGTGAGAGCCCAATTGACTCTACAACAATTTCTCCAGTTTTTGTTGCTCTGCTATGTTAACAATGAGACCAGCGATTATGAGAAAAAGTAGCAGCTGGTGACACATTTTCTATTTGGCCTGGAGGCCATGTTGCTGCCCATTATTGTCTGTGCTATTAAGTACCAGCCAATGAAGCTGCTAGGCTGGTACGCAGTGAGGAAGGAGTCCTGGATAGGCAGGCAGACTTGGGCAGTGCAGCCACTGGGGCACCTTCCAGCTACTGTGAGGACTCGGGGAAATCTTGAGTTCATTGTGCGCTGGTGCTTAAGAATATGTGGGGCCCTAATGTAATGTGAAAAGAGAAGAAGAAAGATAGAAAGAGAGAAAAAAAAGAGGGAGGGAGAGAAGGAAGGAGGGAGAGAGAGAAAATGTAAGAAAAAAATTTATAATCAAGGAAAAGAGTTTTCAAACCTAGCTGCTATAAATTTCGAGATTGAATGTCTCAAAGGCCCACGTAGTTAGCATTAAGTGGGGCTTACTGGGCAGTCTTCTGGTCATTGGAAGTTTGCCTTCAAAGGAGACAGTGGGACATCAGCCTGTTCCCCATTCTCTCTTTCAGGATGCCACAAAGTGACTGGTTTTATCTGCTACACACTTGTGCTAAGTGCAGTGAGGCCAAATGATCTTGGAATGGAACCTCTGAAACTCTGAGTCATAACACATCTTTTAAAAGTTGATTGCTTTGGTATTTGTTATATGAATGATGAGCAAAAACACCAGCTGGTAACCTTTGTCTATGTTGCAATACAGCATTTTTGGTGGGTGTTTTAATTACTTTTCTTTTGTTGCTGAGACAAAATATTTGACACCCAAAGTGAAGGAAGGAAAGGTTTATTTAGCTTACGGTTTCTGGAGGTTTGAGCCCATACTCAGCTGGCTTCCAAGGCAGGGTGGTGTGGCTGAGGGTCAACCATTCATGGTGGCTTCAAGTGACAGGAGCAAAAAGGACAAAAAGGGAGATCATGTCTCCTTCCCTCCCTTGTATTGTATGCCAGCTCCCTGCTCCTGGGCAGGTACAGCACTCAGACCGCCAATCCCAGCACTGGACAATGAACTAATCACAAATACTAGCTTTAGCTGTGTTGGAAAGTCTCACCCCTGATGACAGCATGAGGCTTTGAGGGACATCCAAACACAAACCATAACAATGGGGGAGCATAAGCACTGTAAGAATGACTCCTACTGCATACATTGGCTCCCTGCATGCATCCTGACCTAGATCTCAGCCTATGTGGGGCAGAAGGAACTTTATGTGAAATTCAAAGCCTGGCTCTGCTGTATCCTGACCCCAACCTCCCTGGGCTTCAGTTCCTTATTTGTAATGCAGCAGTGGCAACACGCTAATGTGAAGGTCAGAATGAGACAAATGGTGGTTGGCCTTTGATAAGCATTTTGTTCACAATATTTTTACATTTTCCAGCTTTGAAACAAAGATTTATGAGAGTTAAGCTCTAAGCAATCTCTTTATTGCTGCATGTCTTCAAGGACAGGATGTGAAGTACAATCTTCTTTGGCATGACTTGTACTTCTGTAATTGATTATTAGCAACCCTGATGCTTGCAGATAGGCAGGCATCACAGGGAAATTCCCTGTCAAATTCACAGGGAAAGATCATGGATCACACAAGCTTAATTCTTTCCTTTCAGTCACTAAAGCTTAGTGTATTTTATTTATCTTTCTTTTGGATACTGAACAGGGCCTCTGCAGTGATCTACATCACCAATCCTGTACTATTTTATTTTGAGACAGATTTTCACTAATTTGCTAAATTGCCCAGGCTGGGCTCAAACTTCCAATTCCCCTGTTTCAACCTCCCAGAGTGTTGAGATTACAGGCGTGTGTCACTACAAGTGGCAGTTATTTCCATTTTAAATGTTGTGCTATTTGGCCTCACAGAGCTGCATCAAAACTCTTTTTTCCTTTTGAAGATGTTCCATGACTTTTTCTCCAGTAAACCTTGTCATGAATTTCGTTACCAACTCGCCTGATGTTTCCATGCCTACAAGCCCTGTTTTCCCAGCTAACTGTCCTCAGGCTGGCAAGTGGGGGACTGACTTAACTCCTGAAGCATTTGAGCTTTCTGAAAGATTAAATGGCCAGGAGCATGCCCACAGATCCTCCACGGTGTTCTTTGTCAAGGTCAGGTTCGTGTTTCTTTACAAATACGATGATTTTTCTGTCTTTTTCTGAAATATAGCATCCATCAGAGAAGACAAAGGCTTGTTTTTCCTACCATCCCTCCTTCCCTCTAAGGCTTTGATCTCCAGCTGCTTTTAGGAGGATTCTGCTTTCTAGAACTTTACCTGTTCTGAAAAATGCCTAGTCTTTGAGCTGCTTTGATGATGCTTCCCGTGGTGTTTGACGCTGAGGACTAAAATTAGAAAGATGAGCCCTGGAGAGTTCTCCAAGGAAATAAAATCAAATAACGTAACTGGATTATTCCTGGTTAACTTGCAGATATCCGTGTGACCAGACGTCTACGACTGATGGTGAGATCATTTCCAGTCGCGTTTTAATCTGTTGGCAGCTGGCTCTGAAGCTGCTGTAAAGAGTCTTCCTCCCAAGACATCCACAGCCAGTGCTGCTGAAAGTTTGTTATTAGTTTGTCATTCTGACTTCCATGGGTAACTTTGTATCATTTATTTCCCTTGCTTTTCTCCTTTCTGTCTCTTATACTGGGGTGGGGGTGTCGCTCTACTTTCTCACAGTGGTTGCTAAGGGAGAATCTTTTCTGTTTATAGGCTCCTAACAAATAGTGGCAGCTGAGAGACAAATATGGTGTTGTGTTTTCAGAAAGGAGATGGAAGGGGGCCAGCAATTAGTAGGCTCCAAGCACAAAGACTCACAATGAGGCCTTTGAGAGTGCTGGCTGGCATTACCCTTCCATAGATTGCTTGAAACAATTCAAAAAGGTGTTTGCGTTATGCTTTCAATGGCAAGTTTATTTCCAGAAATCAGCCAGCACTGTAAAACTTGATAGGACTGTAAAATAGCAGAGTCTTTTTTTGGATCTCAAAGAAGCTTTGGCTTCACAGGAGCCAAAACTCCATGTGAGTTGTGTCCATTTTCAAAACAAGATTATTTGACCTTTAGGTCAGAGGCTGGAATGTCACAAACCAATAAAGGGACAGGTTTATCCATGTTCACCTTTCTTGCTCCTTTATTTGGGAGGATTTGCTTCATTCTTTGTTGCCCTGAGCAGGATGGTGGTGGCTAGGCTGTAGTTTAGAAAAGCTTTTTGCAAAGAAAACAGAAGGTAATGATGTCTTTCTGTATAGCACCACTATGTAAGAGGGTGTTATGGTCTGAATGTGTCCCCAAAGTTCAGCTTAATACTTTATACAGTCTTGAAGGCTCTGCTCTTTTGAATGGATTAATGTCATTATAGCTGCAATGGGTTAGTTACCACAGGAGTGAGTTCCTGATAAAATGATAAATTTAGTCTCTCTCTCTTTTCTCTTTCTCTGTCTGTCTCTCTGTTTCTCTCTGTCTCTCTGTGTCTGCCTGTCTGTCTTTCTGTCTCTCTCTCTCTCTGTCTCTCCCTTTCTCCCATTAACCTTGGGAGAGCACAACAAGGATGCCTTGTCCCTTGTAGCCTTTGCTCTGCACCCTCCCAGACTCCAAAAATGTAGGAAATAGATATCTGTACTTTATAAATCATTCTGTCTCAGGCATCCTGTCATAGCAACACAAAGCAAATTAAGACAATAATTATCTGGGCTCTTTATTTCATAATTGCCTTACCTGGTGGTTTAAGATGGGCCATGAAATGATGGTTTTGGAGAAGAGGGCTACTGGGAATGGGCTGAGCTTTTCGCCTTTAGTCCAGGGCAACAACATATCAGAATTGCAATGGGTGATGGCTGTGGTGATGACAGTGGGTAAGGAACAAGTGACTAAATGCTGGCCACTATTCTAAATGTTCTTTGCGGGAATATATAAACTCAGATTCCACAGAATGCTGGCAGGTAGGTACTGTTGTTATCCCAATTTACAAGGGAATGAAGGCTATAAACAATTTGTCCAAAGCACACCATGAGCGCTAGACCTGTAATCTGAATCCAGGCAGTTGGTTCAGAGCCATGCTTCATAAATGCCACACTGGGCTGCTTCTGTTGTTGTTCCAGTGATTTTTATAATCCTACTATTCTGATCCCCCCCCCCCCCGCTTTTAAATCAAGAGCACTTTTGGTTCCAGGATAGATGATTTCACTGACTTTGAAGGAAAGAATATCTTGCTTGTCTCTCTTTATCCAAAGCCTTCTTGAGAAATGTCATTGGGGTCGAATCTTGGAATGACTTTGGAGGAAATGCATGGAATTTTGATGCAAATGAAGCATTAGAAGAATTAATATCTAAAATATGAATTTTTTTCAACACAGCACATGGTTCAAAATCTGAGCTCCTCAATTCAGTACCTCAGTTCCACATTTATAGCCCACAAATGATGAAATGATTATTTATTCTGGGTTCCATCTACAAGCATATGGTGGCAGGTAGGAGATCAAGCAGTCATCAACATAAATATGTTTGACTTCCCAGTGGACAGAATTCAGTCTTGTTGAAGGGCTAAGACATATACATGTCAACAAAAGCAGGGGTTGTCACTAAAATGAAAGTTACACTTCTGGTTTGCAAGTCCACTACATCTTCTGACAAGTGATTTTGAAAATGAGTTATTCCTTCATGCTTTTCTTCCCCTAGAAACATCTGTGCAAACTTTCTCTTTTACCAATACAAATGGTAAAATGACACTCATGTGCTTACTCAAAGCAGAGAGATCAACATAAATTTCCACAAACAGGAGACTACTTAAAATAAATTGAATAGAGGCTTATTTTTTATTTTATATTTACTTACTTATATTTACTTGCTTGTGCCATATGATTGTTTCATAAAATGTGCATATTACAATTTTAAAATAGAAATGTAGATAATTAGAAATTCTAAATTCAGTTACTTTTAATATATGTTGAGCATATAATTTATGTGGCAAGGATCTGAGGACAGCTTTGAGAAGTTCTTCATCTGGCAGAGAGAGGGATGGGGATAACACATGGGAGAAGACATACTTGTAGCACGGTTGGAGTACAAACCAACAAACACTCTTAAATCAGCAAGACCATCTTCTGTTGGAAGCCCAAAGGTCCACTGGGGAAACGGTGGGTATGGTAGCGAAGGATTCAGAGGAGGTAATATGTCAGCAGAATTTTAAAGGATTCATCTACTCATTCCCAAGGTGTGGTTGAATGTATATTATGTGTCAGACACTGGAATAGGTGCAGCGTCCATTGTGGTAATAAAAACAGTCCCAGGTCCCCATCAGAGTAGAATGAGTGGATCATGAGCCACAGAGCCTGGATCTGACAAGAGGGGAGAGCATAGGCAGTGATTTTTGTGGCTGGAGTCAGTGTCAGGCTCAGGTGTCAGCAACAGAAGACACCATCATCTTCCAAGAGTCTGGCCAGGACCAGCCATCTCTGATCCAGAGCCCAGAGTTATCAGGTCACCAGCTGGAAGAGGCCAGCAGAGATCCTCTCTTCCCTGCCCAGCAAAGAGGACTCCTTAGGTTTCTCCTGTTTCCAGGTCAACTTAGGAAGGAAGAAGGGAAGGAGGAAACAGTCTGTTAGTGAGTGTACTTTAAGATTAATGAGTGTTCACCAAAATTAAATGGCCTGAAGCTGGAAAAGTATGAAGTAACAGTGATCTCTGAGTTCCTAAAGCATGGTGGGAACACACAAGAGTAATTTGGCAGATTGCATAGAGTATGATTCTGTTTGTGTGAAATATCTAAAGAAGGCAAATAAATCCATGAAGACAGAAACTGAATTAGAAGTTGCCAAGAGCCAGTGGTGAGAAAGAACAGTCGCTGCTAATGGGGTGGGGTTTCTTTTGTGGTGACAAGATGTTCTAGGACTAGATCACGGTGATGATTGCTAAAATGTGAATATACTAAAAATCACTGAGCTGTACACCTTTTCAAAGGAGTGTGGTTTGTGAACTGTAGCTCAATAAGAAATATACAAAGATTCAGTTCATTAAAGCAAACAAGGAAGCCCTGATTTTCTTCACATATCTGAATAGTAGTATGTGTAAAGTTAATCTATGATAATTATTAATCAAATCCTGATTTTTTCTAAATATTCTAAACTTGTATTATGTTGGATCAAAGTTCATATGTAACTTTATATTATACCTAGTGAAGTAACAAACTTCATACAGAGTTCAACTGATATAGGATTCAACTCATCTGCTGCTTGCAGAAAAAACTCTTAGAAAACTGCAAAACTAATGTAATGTACAAGCAGTAGAAAGTCAATGAGAGGTGACACGCACAAATCCACACGAATTGTGAGAGATGATAAACTATTTTCTAAATCAGAGTGCTTGTTACCATCACTGCATCTGACTGTCATTAAACATACTGATCACTACAAATTTTTGAATTTAAAAATTTCATATCTATTTGTATTGTTGTAACAGAAAATTTGTATGTGGGAATAAATTATTATTATTCTATGTTAAGAGTAAAACTGAAAGTGGGACTTTTCCTTTTTAAAATTCTTAAGTTTCTGTAGTGGGTCTGGCTTGAAGTTTCTTAGTTACTCCTGATTTCACCATTTCCTTCAATATTTAAAGTAACCCAGGGGCTAAATCTTGCTCCTTTTACTTTTGTAACATCTAAAATTCTCTCTGGAAGGAGGTGGTGTTGAAATACTCGCGGCATGGATGTCTTGGTTCTTTATCTTAGTCTCTAGTATGTTTTGTGCCCCTTTGCAGGAAGATTGTGTGCATTATAACTGCCTGCAAAGCAACTATAGTACTTAGAAAAACATCAAATGTTGCAAATAAAAATACACAAATCATTGTAACTATTTTCCACTTGTTTCTCTCAATGCCCTTGTTAAATTTTAACATCTTTCTAAGTCTCAGTTCAAAGCTTCATTCTTTCTTTTCTTGTATCTCCTTGTTTTATCTACTTGTACATTTAGGCAGACTATTTCCTAAATAACTTGAATGGAGATAGGATTTCAAAGGTTTTTGTCTTCTTTTAGTTTTTTTGAGTTAAGCTTTTATGTCTTCTAATTTTATCATTCATCTAAATTAATGTCCATGGGAGAAATGTCAATGGATAGACCAAAATGATACTCAATTTTAATATTTGATGACCCCAAAAAATGGTGTAAATGATTTTCTTGAATAAGGCCTCCTGTATCTCTTTGTCAAACTAACCACTGAACCCTTGAACACATTTTTTGTCATTAGACTGAGAGGAACCCTGCATGTCTGGCTGGAGTGGGGAGGAAATGGGTTAGGATATAGCTGGAGGAAAAGGAAAGCCTGACCATTTAAGAAGGTCCTGGAAGACAGTGGGAAAATGGAGAAGAGAAAGAATGGAGAGAGTGAAGTACTTTCAGAGGCATGTGCTTTAAGGAAAATGAACTTCACTTGATCTTAGCCAAAAGACTAAGAAGCAGTCTGGGGTACA